TTAAAATAAAATAACTAAAAAATAAAATAAAATGAAATGAAATAAAATACAATACAATAAACTAAAATAATTTAAAATAAAAAAGTAAGAAAAATAAAATAAAATTAAATAAAAGTAAGTGAAATAAACTAAAATAAAAATAAATTAAAATAAAATTAAATAAATTAAAATTTAATAAAAGTAAGTAAAATAAATTAAAAAAATTAAAGTTAGATATAAAAAAAAATAAAAAATAAAATAGAATAAAATAAAATTATATAGATAAAATAAAGCAAAATAAAATATAATAAATAAAAATAAAGTAAATAAAAAATAAAGTAAAATGAAATGAAATAAAATAAAATAAATTAAAATAAAATTAATTAAAATAAAATAAATACAATAAACAAAAGAGTAAAATATATTAACTTAAATTAAAATAAAATTAAAAATAAAATAACTGAGATAAAATAAGACGAAATGGGATAATGTAAAATCAAACACAATAATATAAAATGAACTAAGGTTAAGCAATGCAAAAAAAAAAATTAATATATATTAAGTAAAATTAAATAAAACAAAATAAAATAAAATAAGATCAAATACAATAAAATAAAATAATTTAAAATAAAATAAAATTAACTAAAAGTAAGTGTAAGTAAAATAAAATAAAAATAAATTAAAATAATCAACAAATTTGACCTTAAGGGAATATTCCGCATACACAAATTAATTTACCGCTATTGAATACCCTACACATCTTATTGTAAATGTGTTTGTATGAAAAGGTATTAATATTCAAATAAAAATATATATATGTGTATATATTTTCGTTAAAATATAATTAAATCAGTTAACTTAATTTATGCCAACAAAAATGATCTCATCGATAGATTACCTTATACTTATATACATCTTTTCAATATACGGAGTATTTGATGAATCAAAAAAAAAATGAAAATATTAATAAGAAACGCAAAAAAATTTCAATTAGTCTTGCTCAGTTTTGCATTTAAAAAGAAAAAAATAGTAAAACCGGCCTGCATACACCTCTTTCTTACTCAACTTGCTATTATAGAGATTCAGGGGTGGCAGTTTAGGCAATTATTTTGATGCTTCAAAAGAAAATTAAAAAAATGCAATACGCGAAGCTCCACATACTTTAATGCTGTTCGGCTTTGCCTTACTACGCGAAATTTCCAACTGACCAAACAGCAAATTAAAGCGGAGCAACAACATGCAACAAGTACATGCATTGTTACATATATTTTGTATTGTTTACTTGTTTTTTCCACCAACTGTATCAGCACTTGTTGCTTGTTTATATATACTATTGTACATAATTGCTGATTGCAACTGATTACCACTTCGGCAAATGTTGCTTACCTAACAGTGTAACGGCTAACGCACATAGGCAAACACACACACACACACACAGATGGCGTAGCTAGAAACATACGTGTACATAGCGGCCTAGTTGGTCAATTCGCCTATTATACGCCACCTCCGCCTTCGCGGAGATTGAGTAAGCGCTCAACACTGATTTTATGCGAAATCAGCAATCAAGAAACGTGTATGTACTCGTATGTATGCAATTATGTACTGCAGTCAGTGGAATTCAGTGCAAAAGTCGGCGGCTGTTTCGACTATGATAGCGAAGAAGCTAAAGGCGTAGCTTGAGATGCAGCAATCAGTTGGTTGTTCGTTGTTGCATTAATTGCTGATGTGGGCCGCAATTTCGATTACTTGTTGTATTTTTTTTTTTATTTTTTTTATTGCTTTGCTCTTGTACATTTAACCCATGATGTTTTTTATAACGTAATTTTATTACATTTTGTTACTTATTTATTTTTTTACTGTTATTTCTGTTTTATTCGTTAGCTGCACGCTTCTTCAGTGTGTTGTAAGCACTTATGGCTTCTCAGTTACAACTCGTTGACCTATTTTTGAACATTTGTAGCTTTTGGACACTTCACCTAATGCCATTAAGAACACTTGAAAATGTCAAATGCATATAAAGAAGGCTCAATGTGAAGGTCGTTACTTGAAAGTGTTGTAAAGAATTAGGTTAAGTACTCGAATTTAGAGATCTTAAAATTATACGTAAATGTGAATGAAGAGCGTAAAAGTGTACAGGTGCTCATACTTAAAGTTTATGTTGCGCTTCAGTTTTGATGCTAGCATAGGCAGAGCCAATACAATAAGGTGCTTGACGGTCCCATCGTCTAACAGAAAACTTTACTGACGTTTGAAAATGTTTTTTATTTATTTAATTTTATATTAATTTGTTTCAATTCAAGTAATTTATTTTAATTTTATTCTTTTTTGTTTAATACTTTAGTTTATTTCGTATTTTCATCTTCTTATATATATAATTTATTATTATTCAGTTTTATGGGTAGTATTTTTTCTTATACATTTTAAGGTTATATTTTAGTTTATTCAATTTAAATTAATTATATTTTTAAATCTTATCATATTTTCTTTTATTTAATTTATCTTTTTTTTTTTGCTTTGGTTTATTTTATTTGTTATTTATTATTTATTTGATTTTATTTTAGTTTATTTTATCTTGTTTTATTACATTTTATTTTATTTTATTTTATCTTTTGATATATTTTTAATTTAATTTTTTTTTTGTTATTTGTTGTTTTTTATTTATATTTTAATTATGTTATATTCTATTTTAGTTGATCTTGTTTTATTTAATTTAACTTAATTTATTTATTTTTTTATTTTGTTTACTTTATTTTATTTTATGTTATTTTATTTCGTTTTATGCCATTTAATTAATTTAACTTTTTGTTTATTTCATGTTATTTCATCTTATTTTATATTTTTCCTTATATCTTATTTTCTTTTATTTGCTATTTATTATATTTTTTTTATTTTTTACTTAATATTTATTATTTGTTATTTATTATTGTATTTATTATTTATTTTGTAATATTTTTTATTTGCTACTCATTAATTATTATTTATTATTTGTTAATTATTATTTATTGTTTATTAATTATTAATTATTATATATTATTTGTTAATTATTATTTATTGTTTATTAATTATTAATTATTATATATTATTTATTATTTATTATTTATTATTTATTATTTACTATTCATTATTTATTATTTATTAATTATTAATTATTAATTATTAATTATTATTTATTATTTATTATTTATTATTTATTATTTATTATTTATTATTTATTATTTATTATTTATTATTTATTATTTATTATTTATTATTTATCATTTATTTTTTTTATTTATAATTTATTATATTCGTTATTTCTATTTTATTTTATCTTGTTTAATTTGCTTTAATTTAATTTTTTTATTTTATTTTATTTTTATTTTGTTTTACTTTATTTTTCACTGTAACTTGTTTTATTTTATTTTTAATATATTTCATTCATTTTATTTTCTTTTATATGTTATTTATTAATATTATTTTTAATTTGTTATTTATTATTTTTTTATTATTTAATATTTTGTTTATTATTTATTCATTTATTCAATTTAGTTTTAATATATTTTAATTTTTTTTGTTCTTTTATTATTTGGTTTATTTTTTTATTTTTATAGATTTCATCTTCTTATTTTTATTTATATCATTTCACTTGATTTTATTTCATAATTCTATTTAACATTACAACCTCATTATTGCATATCTCTAAATACCGCAATCATCTTCATGACCTTGTCTAGAGTTATTAGCAAAACTAAATATTGTACATTGCAAGTTAATTACAATTTTTTACTCATTTACTCAGCACCCAATGTCATAACTTCACCCGCTCACAAAGCAATTACAATTTGCACGCGAGTGTAGTGCAAGCAGTAGAACATGACTTGCTCACCTTCACGATTTTTGCACCTTTTTTCTAACTTAATTGCAGCAAACACCTGGTACTCATTTCATTTTTATTTTCCGATGATTGCATCTGCCGACGGAATTTAAAAAAAAAACTCAACATCAGCTGTTCATTCGCACAAATCCATGTAAACATGTACATATGTATTTGGCGACTGCTTAGGTATTGCGCTTACGTCATTTATCTAAATTTAGTTAAAATATTTAATTCGTTGCATTGTTGTGCTAAGTTAAACTTCGTTATGCGTTGTTTTTGTTTTTGTGGAATCGACTGCTGTGCGAGCTAATGTTGGTGCTGACGATTTTTTGTTGAGTTTTTTAGTTTACATTTTTCGCTTTCTGCACTTTTATCACTATGTGTTTTTTGCATTATTTTCTCTCACTTTTTTTTGCAAATATTTGTTGAGTTATTTTCTGTAAATAGCTCTAGGTAAGGTTTATAGTGAAGTTGTTGGCGCAGTTTATTGCATATACTCACAGCTTAGCCCAGTCATCTGCTTGTAATTAAATACATACAAACATATGTCTCTTAAATGGCATGAAAGTATGTGTTGTTGATTGCAAGTATTCGATTTTTCTAAACATTAGATGAGTTGAGTGAATAAATTTGAAAATTTTGCATTTGTCTATTGACATCGATCAGTTTTGCAATTGCCGGCTGCTGTGTTGTATGTCTTGGCGTTGGCTGCCTTTTTAAGTAGTTACAGTTTTGTGGCTTAGTGTAAGTGAAAGAAATAAGTTTTGCAGTGAAATAAAATTGGATAAAATAAAACTAAGTTAAATACAAAAATAAATGTAAAATAAGTAAAAATATAATAAAAAAAAGAAAATTAACTAATTTCAAAAAATTAAGTAAACTAAAATAAAAATGATAAAAAGTGACTAAAATAAAGAAAAATTTAATAAAACAAAATAATATAAATTAAAAAAAAAATAAATTCCTGTATATTATTTGTATTTACATTGAAATATTCCATCAGTATGACATTGATTTTTTCACCGTTGCCTTCCCAGACATTCCATTCATATTTGAAACTATAATGAAATCATTGAAAACGTGCTTCATTCACTCTCCCATATTCAATCTTTACAGCTCGTTAAAATCGCGGCCGAAACAAATTTTCTATTATTTTTCAACCAAACACCAACAAAAACGTATTGTTCAAACCGATTGTTTGTGTTTTTCAAAACCTTTTGTACTTGATAAATGAAAATCAATACGAACTGCTAAAAACTTGCGTAATAAATATTCCAACTACCGACACACATACAAGCGAACATACGGCTAAGTACCTGTTGGTGTAATGATAGTACAATAACTACGAAATTCTCATGAACATAAGAACATTTTCAAACGGCAATTCATCAGTAGATATTGCATCGCTACAACAATAAAATCAGAGCAAAATAAGAAAACCGGAAAATCCCAAAACCAATTCCCTCAAACGGTAATGAATATTACGAATTACAGTTAAGTGTAAACCACAATTTGAACGTTGGATTTGAATCGACAACTATTTCTGTTGTTGCTATTGTTTTACAGCCATTGTTTTGACTTTGTAATTGATATATGTAAATATATACGTGATGAAGTTCATATGAGGCAGATGTGGCGGATGCTTAATGCCTCTCTCATCTCATATATAACTGTACAAAAGCTCAAAATTAAATGTAAATCTAGGTGAAGTGGTAAGGCGATACCATAAATACCCTGCAGGAAAAGTTAATTTTTTTGTGTAATTAAATAAACTTTTAGTTGATTTTCGAAGCTAAGTAAAATAAAAAATTTAATATATATAATAAAATAAAATAAGATAAAATAAAATAAAATAAAATAAAATAAAATAAAATAAAATAAAATAAAATAAAATAAAATAAAATAAAATAAAATAAAATAAAATAAAATAAAATAAAATAAAATAAAATGCTATGCAAGAACAAAATAAAGTCAACTAAATAAAGTAAAAAATAGGAAAATTTAAAAAAATGTAAAGAAATTATTGAAATTAAATAAAAAATACGCCTTAATTAAATTTATAGATTTTCTTTAAATTTGCTATTTTAGTTTTTGACATATTTTTAGGCGCTTACCACTTATTCGCTACGGTCTATTCTTCAATTCTTAAACACTTTGTGACATAAATGCACACGATTTATCACCTATTTTGCTCAAGCGGAAATAAAATAGAAATATCGCATTTTTTAGAGTAATAAATAAAATGAATTAATTCAGGTCATTTTACTTATTATTATTTAGTGTGATATTTATTTAATGTGGCTTTAAATTAGCCATTTTTGAGCTTCTATTTTAAATACAAAAGACACTTGCTACTTTCAACAAAGAAAGAAATGTGAAGAATTGGTGTGATTTTGCTCATAAAAGCTCATAAAATTTATTATGCCACCTAATCATAGTTACAGGTACAGAAGAGGTGAGTTTATTTAATTTTATCCTCTTATGAAATCTTTGTGTTAAAAAGTCGGCTAAAATATATTTATATTATTTTGAAAAATGAAAAATAAATTCATCAAAAAAATGGTGATTAAAATTGATTAACTAATTTTTATTACAGAATAATTTTTTGCCACCATGAATGTAGATTTTTTGTTTTAATAAATTTTGATTAGTCAAAAATGTATAAGGAAAATTTATTTTTTATAATGATTCATATAAAACATAATTCCAAATTTACCTCAGCCGTGCAAGGAGTAAGTTAGGAAGACCACTGCTGAGAACTTAAATAGAACTTTTGAATTTAATTTCAATTTTTCAAAAGCAAAAAAACTAAATTTTTGAAAGAAGAATAGGATTGAGAACGCTCCAGAAATCTCCAATAATAAAAATCTCTTTTTTATCATATTTCTAAATATTACTTGATTATTATCATCATTGCCACGATCAACATTGTCTAATCATCGTTTACTCATAGTTGAGCAGGGCAATATATATTTTTTGAATTAATTTCCAACCACCAAGTTCCACCAAAACGTGTTAGCACTTTTAGAGTACATGAGTTTCATACATAAACATTTACCCTTTTCAGACACATTCTATTGCTTTCCCGATTTAATGCAAGAATTAAGCGCTCAGCGGTGTCGGTGCATGAAATGTAAAGTGCAAAAGTATGACTTGCAGTTTCTCACCCCTTCGAATTTTTACTAAATTCAGTTGCATTTCTAATAAGTAAATGTGTATATGCACACAGAGGTATGTGTGTTAGAAGGTCGAAAAGAACTAAGTGAACGGCTGAGGGTATCATAGCATATCACAAGTGTATCACATATTCTTTGACACGTGGCATATATCTATGCAATTACATTTGTATTATTGTTGCTATTATATCTTTTTTGTCTCTGCCTGTTTGTTTGTAAGCGATACCGGAAATTAAGTTTATGCTGGAGTAAAATATTTAATTGTCTTGTGGGTCAGTTGATGTGGAAGAAAGGTCAGAGCTAGAAGGTCGTAAGTCGATTGTTGCATGTCTCTGCTATGTTGTAGAGTAGTACATATGCACATATGAGTATATAAACATATATATACGTATGAGCATGCAGAATATTGAAGATACATATATATTTTTTTTTTGTTATTATATTTTATTATCATTTTTTATTATCTTTGTATCTACTGTGCTTTTGTGTGGCACGTTTTTTATTACTTTACTATTAGGCTCCATTCATATACTAAATGTATGTATGTACGGCTACCGTGTAAATTAAGGTTTCCGGCAAAAAGGGCATTATTGATTGCCAAGATTTTGCTGCACAAATGAACGCGTGCTTTAGTGCACAGATGTTCGGTAGGCAATTGGAAAAAATATTATGGAAAAAAACCTTTAGTTAGATCATGAGTTCTTAGATTTAGTCTTCATGTACTTATAATATGTACACCATTTTCTTTTCTTTAAGAAATACTTTTGTATAATTTTAGAATATTATCTCTCTAATTTTAGAATATTATCTCTCTCCCTTTAGCAATCCCACGAGTTCTAGTTTTCTAAAGTCTTAGTAAATTTCTGTAGCTTCGCGAGCGCGTTTCACCTTATATTCGCAGGACACTCAAGGAGATAGTAATTTTATCTATATAATTTCTGGAACTCAAGCAGAGTCTGATTGCATAGTTTCAAACAGAAAAAGGTCTGTAATATCCACTTCTGTCATAATCCATCCAGAAGGCCAAAAGAACATTTTGATTATGTTCAGGTCCATTAGCCGTTTTGGAGACTGTATGTGATCCGCAAAATCACCGCCCCCTGTTTCTTGGCCAAAGATTTTTAACAATGTTGCTCATTCTCGAAAATTAGTATTGCAGCTGTCACCGTTACTGTTGGGAGTTTTCTATGGAAAACTTATTTACTTACAACTAAAATAAAAATTAAAAAAAGGGATTTAATTGAGGCTAACTCCGGGTAGGCCCGAGCATTAAGAACGCGTCTGATATTTTGTTATATTTAGGGGGAAACTGAATGAATTCATTTTGGCTCAACAAAGACATAAATCGAAAATATTTGGAATAGGTTTAATAATATGGGTTTCATGGTACAAATGCAAATTTTTCGTCTGATTTTTTTTCAAAAATTTTTCCCCAGGAATAAAAATTTTTTTTAGTCCTATATAACAACTGCAAACGACATAAAATTGTTGATTAAAAAAAAACTATTTAATATAAAAAAATCTACGTATGTCTCTGGAAAACGGTATTTCGAATGTACTGTTAAAATTTCGTAAAAATCGTTGAAGTTTTGTGTGAGTTAAGTATTGGGTCTGTTGAAAAAAAGGCATTTGCAGAAAAAACGCGTTTAAAGTTAAATGGTGCTCGGGGCCATACCTGCAAGGCACGGCCGTCATCCATCTTTTTGTATGTTATTTTTAAGACCCTGAAGCAGATTTGAAGACAAAAAAAAAACAATTTTCGATTTTATTCAAATTTCTATATTGGATGAGCGCATAAGTTCGTGCCCGATTTTAAGTGCAAACTAAAATTGAAATTTTTTGAAGAAAGCGCTTTTATTAATCAATTATGTATTAGCCATCATGTTCGGTAATCCACTCCCAACGTTCAACCAATTTACGGATGCTTGATTCATAGAAATCGCGCGATTTCTCGTTGAAAAAGGTGTCAAGGTAGTTTTTGACGTCTTCCACATTTTTAAATTTTTCTTCATTCAAATTGTTCTGCAGCGATCGAAACAACTGATAATCAGAAGGTGCAATGTCGGGTGAATATAGGGGTTGCGGCATGATTTCCCATTTCATCTCCTTCAGTTTGGCCAGAGTCGGTTTTGAAACATATGGCCTGGCGTTGTCATGATGGAAAAGAACTCCTTTGCGATTGGCCAAAATCGGACGTTTTTCATCAATTGCTTTCTTCAATTCGACCAATTGCTGACAATACTTGTTGGCAGTGATCGTTTCTCCAGGTACAAGAACTCAAAATAGATCACGCCTCGGATATCCTACCAAATGAACAGCAGTACCTTCATCGGATGCAATCCACCTTTCGACATCAGTTCCGCCCCTTCGTGTGCCTGTTTCCATGTTCCTTTGCGTTGAACATTGTTGTACAGGATCCAGGATCCGTCCACTGCGAGGTAGATCTTCGAGGTTAAAATCTCCAGAAAGAAATTTCGCCATTTCGCCATTTCTTTACTGTGCGGAGTGCTGGAGGACGGTCCAAATAAACTTCGGGAATATCTTTAGTTGCAGCGCCTACTGTTTTTCCTTTGCGGAATTCGTATAACATAATATGACGCATATGATCTTTTTCGTTGTCCATCTTCCATGCGTCTTTTCACCAAGCAACTCAAATCAAAATGAAGTTATTTTATGCTTGATTTACAGTACGGACTGTCACCTTTCCAACGATATATAATATGTATATATTTCTTTCACGAGCGCCACTCTCAAACGATTCGAACGGCATCCAGCGGAATCGTACACGAACTTATGCACTCATCCAATATATACATTTTTTTGTATGAAGAACTTAACTGAGCAATCTGTTTGGATAGGCAATGCCCAGAAAAACGTTGATTGTTCAGCTAACATCACTACTTAAGGACCTGGAATCTAAAAAATTTCCTTTCAACATTAGAAACTTGTTTGCTTATTTATCTTGGAAAAGAGGCAATTGCATAAAATTTATTGTAATGTCGAGCTCTTGCATGACTTCGCCGTAATTTAGACAGTTCCTAGACAGTTCACCGAACTTCAGTATCGTGTAGTTTGCAGTATAATATTAAGAATTTTTGTATATGTAAAATTCCAATTTCTTATATAGAGAAATATATACATGCAACACGCAAATGCAATAGTAAATCACATGGAATATTCGAATAATGAATAAATAAATTAAAATGTCGCTCTCTTTAAAACACTGATATTCTCTTATTACTAATGACAATAAAATTAGAACACGCCGTAAAAGGTTATTTCCGTGGCTCTGCATTTATATGTCGATGATCAAGGGGCGTGCAACAAACGCCAACAGCTAGTGGCTAGAGAAAAGGGACACACATACAATAAACGTCGTTGACAACTGCCATCAGTGTCTCCTACTGTTTGTATGCACGCTCAAAGTAAAGCTGGTGGCTTTCTCCCTGACCGATAAACAGCAGGAGGTGAGGTGAGGTGACGATGGGCATGAAAGGCTTTTGGGCTATACAGAAATATATTCTTTATTGGCAATACAAAGGTGTATAAACATTTTCGAAATTTTTTTTCCATCTCTTTAAGAAGCGTTACAATGTTGTTGTTTTTGTATGCCCTCCACAAAACTATTTAATATGCAAATTTCGTATTCTTTTTCATAGCGCTGTCGGAGTCGCTTTTGTGAGTAGCAGCTACTAGTAGTAAATATGTATGTACACGTATGTTTGTAGTAGCTTTGGATTGGTGTTGATAAGCCCAGTTAGCCAACTTAACCAACTCAGCTGGGTCGCATGCGCAGTCCGGTCAAATTCGTGCTTTATGCTACAAAGCCAAAGTATGAAGCTTGATTTGTTTTTGTACATACTTAGATACAAGTATAAATGTACCAATCGTTGTATGTCGAGTTTGAAGTTTTGTGTTTAGATTTGAACTTTTGTTTCGCGCACACAATCCGTTTGAAGAAAGTCTGAGATTTACATAGAATCTTTTTTGTTTTTGTTTTTGTTTTTGTATATGAGCGTGTTTAGAAATGTTCATGCCTGTATTTAGGAATGTTATTGTTGTTTTGTGTTGAACAAAAAGAGAAATTTTCATAACTCATAATGTGTTGACGGTGGATTTTTGACACAGTAGCTGCAAGTATTTGCGGAAATTGTTGATTTTGCTGTTGTTGTTTTTTTTTAATTTCATATAAATTTGCATAAACGTGCTGTTTGAACTCTGTTACTTGTTGAATAAGTGTTAAACTTAATGGTTTCCATGGTAATTTGAATTTGAATTGACGGCGAGCTCAGCTCAATTGGCAGGAAGACGGAAAAATTTTTTGATGAAAGTCTCATTGCATGATTTATACTAAATCCAAACCCATTGTACCGAAAAATGTTTGGAAACAACAGACATGTAGAGAGATATTAAAGAGAGTACTCCAGAACATAAGTTAATCCAAGATGTGCTCGAGTTCGACGTTAGTTTTAGCTTTCCGCAAGCCCAGTTGCTATATATATCTTATATAGAAGTTAGGGTTGTGGTTGTTGTAATTCGAAAACATTCCAAACTAAATTTTTGGTAGGAGCTAAAGGACAGTATAGTTGAATATTTCTTATTTACTTTAAGGGAAATAACTTTAACTTCTCTGCAGCTTGAGCTCCACCTGAGACTTAGTCAGCAGGATAATATGCATTCCACATCTAAGAAAGAAGTATATACGTTTCCCTGTTTTTGTTCCACTGTATAAGAAATATCGGCATTTTTGAAGTTTGGGTGAAGTAAAAAACCGAATTTTCTAAGCATTCTTGAATTCTTCTCGTCTGTATGATGAAAGCTGGCATTCTTGTTTACCTTAAACTGCAAAGGTTTGATATATAAGTTAGGCTAGTAAAAAGAAAGAAGTGGCTGCTGAGTGATTCATTTAGGCCATCATACGGTCGCAATGTGCTACCACTGAGGATTCTTAGACCCTCAAAATATGGACAAACCAATTTGAGCAACTCAATTTCGGCCAAGTTTCTAATCTACTCCGCCGAAATTCGGTACATTCACAAACGAACAACTCCCAAACAAGAAATTTATTGGTACTCATTTCTTTTCACCATTTCGCCAAGATAAGTACTCTTGACTTTCTTTTATCCCATGTCGTCCACATTATCTTAGTCATGTTGTAATGAGAATCTCTCTTAGAAGGAGCTTTCAAGTAGAATAGAAAAGCAATACGTAGCTTACACCCTTTGCATCTCATTTCTGGGTACACGGTGTCCAGCCACTCAAAAAAATTGGACCAAAGAGAGATAAATTTCATTTCCAAAGAGTAAGTAAGAGCGCAGTGAGAAGAAATATATGAGCTCAGGTCAATTAGTGCTGAATGCACCATTTTGATGCTCTATCGTAAAGATCTGGGTAATCCTGCTAACACGTTTCATCGTAACGTAGAAACCACTTGGTGATCTCAATAAAACTCCATCCTTTGTTTTTTGTCGTCGTGGAGGAGGTTTGGAGCCCAATGAATATCCGGTTTCTTTGATGAATTAGTTAATGATCTGGGAACTAACACAGAACATGGGTAACTGTCTTCTTATTCTCCTTTTGTTTGCAGCTGTAACTACGGCTGTAGACTCTCCGTAACAGTGCCACTTTATTGTGGTTATGAATCTTAATATGCTTTTCCTGGACCTGTTTGATGTTTTTGTCCTCTCATACGTCCGTCTGTTCAGTGCTCCCTAATGAGCGTTCTTAACAGTCATAATATTAATACCGTTTTAGACTCCTCAAGAGATGCTTCTGACTTGGCCAGGGAACCCATTTTAAGAATATGACGAGCTCATCTGTGAGTGAGGTTACAGACTTCTCACAATTTTTGATGACACCTGAAATGAATTGGTGACCTAACGACGCATAAATTATAATTCCAGTTAAGCGATGGCATTTTTTGACTGATCATAGAGAGATTCTAAATATAGAGCAAGGAATGATAGTCTTTCGTGCATATGCTGCCAATAGTCTTTTTACTTCAACATTAAGTTAATTCTAAGTGATTCTTAAGTAGGTTCGAGTTGATGTTTTTATCACTCTTTAGAATCACACACAATGAGAGAAGTCAATGTTGTCTGCGTGAAGCTTACACAATTTTCTTTTAGCGATTTGCTCATAATTTTTTTAGCGAGCGAATTGCTCGATTACTCGCTGAACTATTTATTTGAACTAGTCGCTTAGTATTACTTAATTCTTTTTTGGTGCAACCATTAAAAAATGTTTACAATGCCTTTTTTTGGGAACGTTTTTATCTCAGTGTTACATATTTTACATAAAAAACACTCTTAGTTTCATATATAATGCAGTTGTGACATTTACCCAAGCTCGGAATAAGATGTGATAAAAGTTGCATGTGAAAAAAAAAAAAAAAAAAAATTAAATTAAAAAAATACTCACATAAAATAATTTATATGAAAATGCACTCGGCTTTTGTTTGCCCGAAACGCCGGTGAATTTTCGTCAGCAAACACTTTTGAATGACAAAATTTGCTCCTTTTGTTTGTGGCATGTCTGCAGTGTATCATTTACTATCGACATTTCCATGAATATGTATTTGTGCATGACTTCGTTTGTGGTCAGTTGGTTTCTGCCATGTCTTTCATTGTTTTTCTTTTGTCAGTCCATTTGTTGCTAACTCTTGGCCTTTGGGCTATTTTGCTTTTGTGGCTTCATTATTGGATTTATTTCCATAGTACTCCTTGCAGTTTGTCATTTGATGAAATTTTTATGTTTCTTTTGTTTTTTCTTTTTTTTTTTTGTACATTACCTTTGATTTGGGTCAATTGCTTTTGTGCCGATTTATCACTGGAAATGGAGAAACTAACAAAAGTTTTGAATTTTTTTTGTATTTTTTTTTTTAGTTTTGATATAAAGTTTTGTATTACTTTGCATTAGCTGTACATTGTTTAATTGTTTTGTTGTTGTTATTTTTATGGCATTTTCAAGAAAATAAATAAATAAAGAAATAACTAAAATAGCGTATGATTTCAACTGTTGCCTGCTGTTGATTGGATTTTGACAGTTTCCAAATTTGTTGTCGTCGCGAATGAACAGAAAATTCATTTTGGCTCTTTGCACAAAAGATTCAAGCGACGTACTTAAAATTTTATAATTATGATATGTAGGGATTAACTTTTTTACGAGCAATTAACATGTTTGTTTTTTGATTTGCATACTTATGCACATACTAAAGTTAATATATATTTGAGTAATCATTAAATTATATAATTTAATACATTATTTATTACGTGGAATAAATTGTTCTAGCACGGAATGAAACTGAGAATTTTAATCAACAATTAATTATGTTTTAAATTAATTAAATTTATTGTAAATTTTTTATAATTTATAAATAGTTTAAATGTTCTATTTTATATTTTATATTTTATATTTTATATTTTATATTTTATATTTTATATTTTATATGTTATATATTTTATATTTTATATTTTATATTTTATATTATATTTTATATATTATATTTTATATTTTATATTTTATATTTTAGATCTTTTTTTTATATTTTAAATTTTATATTTTATATTTTATATTTTATGTATTAAATTTAATATTAAGTTCTTACCTCTCATAATATTTTATTGAAAATCATACTCCAAAAGAAAAAAAGAATTATTTACTGAAAAGCGAATTCGCATGACATGTGCCAAAAAAGAAATGCTTTAAGCAGCAAACTGTGCCTTGGCCACAGAAATACCATGAAGCTTATGCTTGGTCATAAAAAACTCATTAATTTCTTGCCAAAATGTAATTACTTTTAAATTGCTTTTGTTATTAAAAACTTTGCCGCTAGAAGCTTTGGCAGTGTTATGACTCGCGAATTAATCCTTGCTAATGCTACAATCACGGAAAGTCTTATTAAGTAGGAGAAAGAAAAAATGCTTTTTAATAGGCAAACCACCATTTCTGTTCTAATGTGAGCTGACGTAAGTTAGCTGTAGCGTGGGTTGGGTGAGAGTATCCGATTTCAAGGTAGAAATAAGAATGGAAATCAATAGTAATAATGAACTGGTAATCACCTTAAATTTTATAAATTTATAAAATTAAAATTTTTTTCTTGCTAATTTTTTGTTTTATAAATAAGTTAATAAGTTGCAATTACACGGAAATTATACTGCAATACCTCAACAATTTTACCCGCACATCTATGTTTGTATTTTTAAATTCACTTTTTTGAATATTATGCGCTTATTGTCATTAATTGCTAATTATATTTTATTTTTGTTTTCTTTTAGCCAAAATGAAGCCATTCACACAACTCCTCTATGCAGCGCTGCAAATAATCGTAAGTAGCTTTTACACTAACGAGATTTTAAGTAATAAAAAAAGATGTATATATGTATATATCTTAGCAACAAATATTTCAAATTAGTTGGAGAAATTTTTTTTAAATTAATTTTCTTCACACACATACATACATTATTTCAGTTTATTCTATTATTTTATACCACCAACATAGTTTCAGATTTTGTGACTTTTGCTCCTGAAAATCTATGAAATAAACAGTGACCTGCATATAGTTGGAAGAACACAAACATATATATTTTTTTTGTTATTTTGTTTTTATTTCAACTGACCTCTGAGGGTCACTTAATTGATATGTGCCACATATTCCTGCAGACTAGCCACGATTTCAATAAAGTGTTCCACACATTTTTGCACTTACTGTGTATTGGCATTGCAAAGCGTTGAAATTGTTTACTACATGCCAGTCACATAACATACACGTACATACTCCTCAATTTATATGTGAGCATAGCACTCGTATAGCGGTTAAAGTACAACGGTAATCTGTGAAGTTCTTTAATTTGCCGTATATACTTGTACACAGCTATGCCGACATACAGATGGAAATGTTTTTGGTACTTCTACCAACGCTAATTTTCCTTAGATTGCTGTAATTTTGGCGAAAGTGTCTGCAGCATCTCATTGTACATTAGCATGGCGGGAACGTGGGAATGCAATTTTCCTCTTTATGCGAATATTCATTGGTAATTTAATAGCAGTTTTCTGTGCATTTGCAATTATTTCGGTTACTTTGATTTGATCATTGTGAAATTCTTTCTAAAATTCCTTCAACGCTTTGTAATCTGTGGTTGTCGACTTATGGTTTAGTAAAATTAATTTTCCAATTTTATGTTGACACGTCGGGCTACTTTCGTTGCGCAAGCGGTGAGAGATGGTGCTGGTACGGAGCACATACAAACAAACATAAACATACATTTCAAACCATGAGAATACTGGTTTTATTAATAATGAGATTAATTTGTAAAATTAAATTTCCTAATGAAAGCTGTAAGTGTAGTTGGGCGGATTTGTGTGATGGCTACTTGCTCAAGTGATGAACTCACTTGTATGTATATATAATGTAGTCATAGTTGCCACATGATTCAATCACCTTTTCATGATTGACTATAAGCAAATGGTTTTCATCTTTTAACTTTACATACATATATATTGGACAGTAGAAAGTAATCCATTATTTTTGCAATAGATGGCTTTAGTGATCTCTAACTTGCGTTTTCGCGTGCGAAGGCGTTAGGAAGATGCTATTTTGTAATAAAATAGATGCTGGGAGAAGTGTTAATCACTAAACTCATTAGGTTGAGCGCCTCTCAAGGAGAAAACCCAAGTAAAATGTGAGTGAGTAGTGTTTATGGTCCTATTAATCATGTAAAATATGCTACACGATGTTAATTAAATAATAGAAATCGTAGAGTTTCGATTTTTTACCAGCCAAACATTGCTGGATGGCTGGATGTATGGTTTCCAAATGAGTTAACAAGGAAAAACCTCATAGACCGTTTGCATCTGAAAATCGCTGATGAATTGTAACAAAATCAATCCATTTCTTTAGCCGAAGGTAATTGGTAATGACAAGTAGATCACTTACAACAACTTTAAATAAAAATGGTCATGGTCCAAGGGCAATGAGCCGGCTCAAACGGTACATACCAGGATTGACGACTAGGAAAGTTTTGTTGTGTATTTGGTGGGTTTGGCAAGGAATTATCTACTACAAAGTGCTCCCCTATGGCCAAACGCTCAATTCGGCCCTCTACTGCCAACAAATGGACCGCTTAAAGGTGGCCTCATCCAGAAAAGGCCACCTTTAATCAACAGAGGTCGAATTGTGTTCCATCAGGACAACGCCAGGCCACACACGTTATTGGTGACGCACCAGACGTTCCACGAGCTCTCTTGGGAAGTCTTTAGGACTCACTCACTTTATAGTCCGGGCCTGGCACCAAGTGATTACCATCTTTTTCTGTCCATGGCGAACGCGCTTAATGGTGAGAAGTTGGCTTCAAGAGAAGCCTGTGAAAATTGCTTCTCCGATTTATTTACCAACAGGGACGCAGCCTTCTATGAGAGGGGTATAATGAAGTTGGCAAACCGTTGACAACGAGCTTACAAGCCAAACGGCGCATATCTGACTTAAATCCGACAAATGTACACAAAGTTATCATATTTTGAAAAATCAATAAAAAACCGAACGAACTTTTTACTGTACCAATATATTGGATGAGTGCATAAGTTCGTGCCCGATTCCGCTGGATGCCGTTCGAATCGTTTGAGAGTGGCGTTCGTGAAAGAAATATATACATATTATATATCGTTGGAAAGGTGACAGTCCGAACTGTAAATCAAGCATTAAATAACTTCATTTTGATTTGAGTTACTTAGTGAAAAGACGCATGGAAGATGGACAACGAAAAAGATCATATGCGTCATATTATGTTATACGAATTCCGCAAAGGAAAAACAGTAGGCGCTGCAACTAAAGATATTCCCGAAGTTTATTTGGACCGTCCTCCAGCACTCCGCACAGTAAAGAAATGGCGAAATGGCGAAATTTCTTTCTGGAGATTTTAACCTCGAAGATCAACCTCGCAGTGGACGGCCTTCTGAGCTTGATGACGATGTTCTAAGGACTTTAGTTGCGAATAACTCACGTATTTCGACGGAAGAGGTTGCCAGTGAATTGAACGTCAACAAATCAACTGCGTTTCGTCGTTTAAAAAAGGTTGGGTACACTTTGAAGCTCGATACATGGGTGCTACATCAGTTGAGTGAAAAAAAAAACAAAGTGGACCGTATGCCAACAGCAATTTCTTTGCTTTGACGGATCGAAAACGAACCTTTTTTGGATCGGCTAGTGACTGGTGATGAAAAATGGATCCTGTACAACAATGTTCAACGCAAAATAACATGGAAACAGGCACACGAAGGGGCGAAAACGATGTCGAACGGTGGATTGCATCCGATGAAGGTACTGCTGTGCATTTGGTGGGATATCCGAGGCGAGATCTATTTTGAGCTCTTGCCACCTGGAGAAACGAGCGCTTTCTTCAAAAAATTTCAATTTTAGTTTGCACTTGAAATCGGGCACGAACTTATGCACTCATCCAATATAAAAATAGAAGTGACAAATATCTGGAAAAAATGCTTGCCTTTCTGCCAGCTTTTTAGAGAGCAACGTTTACTTGTCGTCCATACAGGTTTTATTGGTTATTAAGATTTCAAAACTTGGACAGGATTTTAGTAAAAAGATTTCAAAAATAAATATCTTTAATGTAAAAAAAATATACATATATATATACTACATACGTACATATATTTAATATATCTACCACTTGCTAAACATAATTATGATAACTACTTTCATTAAAATTTATCTGTAACCTATTACATATATATTTTATGTCTTTGAGCGCCTTTTCTATATTCATAAATCTAACTTTTATTTATGAAAATTAAAATAAAAAATTGTTCTCTTATTTTTTGTTCCAGACAATCGCCACATTGGTCACACATGGTGCACAAATACCAACAGCAACGAGTAAGTTAATTATTTCTTACAATATGTAAACGATAAATCTGTTATTAAATCAGCAATGCGGGCAATCAAATTGTTGCCTCTATTAACCCAAATCGAAAGGAGAGCGACGGTGTATAAAATGTCGTTAAGAAAAAAGTGTGTTTTTTTGTAGTTCGCATGTTTGCATAAATGATTAAATGTGCAATTTTATCTACATACTTATCGAGATTTCGAGTAATAATTCATTGTTTGAGGTAACAGGGGGAAAAGAAAGGTGAATGATTTAACTATTAAGCTAAATAATTATTTATTTACAAAGAGAATGGTGTTGATAAGTATTTAGTTTCAAACTCTATAATATAATTGGCGTTTAATTATTGATGAGTGCATAAGTTCGTGCCCGATTTCAAGTGCAAACTAAAAAATTGTAANCGGACTGTCACCTTTCCAACGATATATAATATGTATATATTTCTTTCACGAACGCCACTCTCAAACTATTCGAACGGCATCCAGCGGAATCGGGCACGAACTTATGCACTCATCCAATATTATTTTAATTATTATTTACATTATTTATATTTATTTATTATACTATTTTGAACATACATATGTGCGCATGATCCCATATCTAAGAATTTTTTGCTGTGGGATGAGTATTTAAAAAGTCGAAATTCATGGTTTATCCTTTTACTAGGTTCGCGTTTCACGTGAAATGTCTGTCAAAATCCATACAAATTTCTTTGGCGTGAAATATTAAATGCATGCCTGGAACATACAACCTCCAATTCACGCCGTGGAAATACCATTCAACATGCTAGCAACATGATGTCTGCAACATTTTTTCGCCGCTTTTATAAAAGGAACATTAAAATTGAAGGAAAAGTGAAATATGTTGAAATTGATAGGGAATTGAACATTTGAATTCAAGAAATAATTGGGAAATTTGAGTGGATGTTTTGCGATGGTTCCAGGCCATTGATCCAATCGGGGAAGAAATACTCTTCCACTATTATGTTCTCTCTGAACCACTCTGTGATCTCTGTATAGTTAATTATCGTAAGTGGTTTAATATCGTCAATAAAACCGTTACCGATTGTTGCGAACCTTTTTCCTTATAATGCTTTTCACCCTTTCATAACTTCGGCAATAGTCGCTGTTGGGTATCTCTATCGGCGAGACAGTGACCTGTTTGTACTACCATCAGATTTAAAATTTCAATAATCGGCATGTGCGACCCACATTTCATTCTAACCACGTTTGCTTTCTTATCGAGCCCATCATTAATAGTTTTCAGCGCTATTCAGCTACTTCCTTGATATATTTCTCAATTAAATATTTAAAAATAGCTAGAGGTACGTACATATAGAAATATATAGAACCAGCTAAATCTAATTGTAAAGTGGTACCTAATCCAGCTACTTCATCTGCCTCACAGTTACCCCCCTATATCCTGCTGTCCTGGTGTCCATTGCAGATTAGTCATGTAGAATGATGCAACACCTGACTGCTTTTACTATCTTTGATGGGATCCTGAATGATTTTAGTGGTTTCAGAGCTGCTTGGTTAAATGAGTTTATATATATAAATATTTTTTGTAATAAGAACCCTCATTCTCAGGACCAATAGGCTCGCCTTAATTGCAGCAATATCTGCCTGAAAAATACTACAGTGTTTGGGTAGGCGAAAGGCGATGCTGATATCGAAATTTGTGGAAAAGACACAGTTTCCTAACCGATTATGGAATTCGGATCAGTTGTTGCTAATGTAGTAGCTCTCCAATCTCACTTGGGAGCAGACGAGTCTAAGCTATCGAGGTTACCTTACGAGAAGTCCAGATGAGATTTTCCGACGGCTTGGGATGAGCGGAAAAGCAGTAAGTCTTAGAGAACATGCAGAGAAGTGGTTAATGACGTGCGGAGTCCCATTGAATGTAGGTCATATGTGGTTTACTCGCGTCTTTCGTCTTCGTCTGCAATAAATAAATGCCTGCTTTGGGCATTGAATTTTATTCGACCCTAAGTTGTTAATTTTTCGGCGACCTAATCTCGGTTAGGTTATCTGGCAAGTTGGGTCCGATGTTTAAAGTTATTACTGGATGATTTCGAGAATTCGTAATATTGGGCAGAAAATATCAATTTCTTTCTTAATACAATTAAAAAAATGGAGATTCCCTCTGCCTGAGTGCCGACTTCACAGCCAGTTGCTTTCAGCATATGTCTAAGGGCTATGCAGCATAACGTTTTGTGACTGAGTTGGCGTTGTTCTAACAGCATCACCTACAGTTCTTTGTATATTTCCCGATTATTTCTGTGCTATTATTGGCCATCAAACCAATATATCGCAATAGAAAAATTAACTTTATTTAAAATAAGAAATATAATACAACCGCACCACAGAAAGATTGAAAATTCGTTTGAATGAAAAGGAGCAGAAAAGGGTACTGGCGATCGTTAAGAATTTCCCACGCTTGATAGAGAAAAAATTAAGATTTATTTGAAATTTCTCAGCTTCGAAAGATGTGATGAAAAGCCATTTACTTGGGAGGGACTAGCCAAATATTTTGCGAGGGTCGAAAGAGATGGAAGTATGCTGATTTTGATTTGAGAACTTTTTGGTAATTTTTTGTTTTCAAATTAAAAAAAAAAAAACTATAATATCTGCAGTAAATTTTACTAGTCACCCCAAGCTTGAAATCGCTGAAAAAACATCACATTTACGGCTATGCGGCTCTCAAAAGATTTCAAAGCAAATAGAGCTTTGTTAGGAGATTTAGGTCAGATAATGAGTAATAAGACTAATTGTAATTTATTTAAAATATATATTACTCTTCGCTTGAACAAAAAATATTAGATAATTACAATGTAATGACAACGCACAAAAACAACTGAAAAAAGCTAAATAAAAAAAAAATAGTATAAAAACAGGTCAGTAAATGTACGAAATATCGCACAAAATATGCGCCAAATAGAGTTCAAAGCAATGCGTTGTTGTTGCGCATATCCGTGTGCAAAATAAATGCAAAAGGCAAACAAAAAAAAAAAATCAAGATAAAGTAAACATTGAAATGCGCACAACAGACATAAAATGACGTGAATGTTGGTAGTTTGCGGCGCATGAAAGTGAATGTGTGGACGGCAAAACAAATAGCAGGCAATGAGAGGCGAATGGAAAGAAAAAGAAAACATAATACACAAAAATAAAGAAAAAAGTGAAAACAATTTGAAAATCATAAAGTGAAAAAAAAAGAATTTTGCAAAACAAATACAATTTTCATATGGAGCAGACACAAATTGCATGCCTAACGGTAGCAGCTGTTTACAAGTATATTATATGTAATATATTTAAAAAAAAAAGCAAACAATTTTTACAACAATTTTTTGTTTAACTCAAACTATGGGCGCTTATGATTTTTTTGCTGAATTTAAAATATATGTTTTTGATTACCTTCCCTTCCCTTTGGATTTTGTTTTTTTTGCCTTTCTTATTTTGCCTTTTTTATTTTGCCTTTTTTATTTTGCCTTCACATTGGCGCCCACGCAATGCTACTTTTGTTTTTAAATAATTTTTAGCTTTTTTCACACCCATTTTTGTTGGGTCATGTTACACCGAAAAATTTATACGCTTTTGTTGCTTTCACTATTTTGTCATTATTTGACCGCTGTCACTAGATAATTTATATATATATTTTTTTGCTGTTGGCATTAGCAAATTGTCGCAAAATTTTGTAAAGAAAACATTTGTCGCCAAGCTACAATAGTAACTAACGAGCTGCCGTAACCATTGTCAAATTGCGGTCCAAATGACAGGCGAGTTGCGACAAGCTGTTCAAATATTGATCTAAGTAGATAAGAAATTTGATTAAGAGTAGCTGGAAATTAGGTCAGATGTGTATTATTTAAAGTGTAAAGCTTAAAAAAAGAGACCTTAAAAAGTTGAGATCCAAGCGAAATATGCTTATTGGATTGGATATTAGTGCACTGACATCAATTATTCCGTTAGCAAGTGGTGAAAGGACTATCAAACTCATTACTACCCTTGATCTGAGCAGGTTGTTTTTGCTGGTATCGGGAGTTAGGATCATGCGGAGACTTAATTTGAATAAGAGTAGAACTTGCTACAGCATCTAGATCTTGACACTTAGGAAACGCTTGCCTTTCATGACTCACCAAATTCCATGTGTTATGCGAATGGCACCGCTCGTGTCGGTTGGGCGCGAGGAGAGTAACCGTTGGGCGCATTATTAATATTAGTTAAACCAGCATCCTGTCTAATAAGGTAGCTCTTGCATCCCATCTGCTATAGAACTCGAAAAAATTAAATTTTTTAAAATTTGTTTCAAAAGGGAAGGAAAGGTAAACGAAATTTTCAGACAGTTTTTTACATATTTTAAGCTTTTGGTATGGTGTATGCATTAATTCGTGCGGTTTTTTTTTCAAAAATTAAGACTTTATTGTAAAAAAAATTGTTATACATTTTATGTACAAAGTATTGCCCATCGGAAGTTACGTTCTTTGACCATCTTTCTGGCAGCTTGTGGATCCCATCCCAAAAGAACTTCTCCGGCTTGGAGGTCAAGAAAACCAATTTCTGATACACTGCTCTGAAGTTAAGTGACGCGAACTCCGGTGAGGGCATTCTGCATTGATCTGAACAAGTGATAATCGGAAGGTGCTATGTCTGAAAACTCACAGTTTTTCAAATAGTTTAAACTGGCCTTGCAATATGTGGCCGAGCGTTGTCATGAAGAAAAATTATTGACTCGTGCATGGTCGTATATTCTGCTCGTTTTTCCGCGATGGCTTTTTTCAAACGAATCAATTATTTTCGGTAGAGGTCTCCATTGATCGTCTGACCCCATTTCAATAGCTCATAATAGAGCTAGACCACCTTTGTGGTCTCCCTAAATACATAGCATAACCTTGGCACCATGGATATTCGCCTCTGACGTGGATGCCGTTGGTTGGGTGGGCTTCACATACGATCTCTTGCGCTTTAGGTTATCATAATGAATCAATTTT